TCCTTTTTGTTGCAAAAATTTGGTGTTTCCACGGTTTCCAGGCAAGGCCTGTTACCAATTTTTCGACCCAAGAGTGACTGAAAACTCGCATTCCCAGAAGGCTGATTGAAACTGAAGATCACGTATCTGTTGCAGACACTTCAACCACTGCGCTATACGCTTTTTTCAGTTGGTAAAAATCTGTCTACGGTGCGTGAATATCACCAAAATTCATGGATCGAAACCACCTAGATTTCGGAAAAGTAGTTTAAGCAGACCATCCCTTCTGTTTGTTTTTTTTTTGTTTGTTTGTTGACACTGATGAAGTAGAGCATACAGCAAACGCAGTCTGGAAAAATAGAATGTGGATTTAATAAAGTAAATAATGGGAAACAAATATTCTGGTTATTACTCTAGACAAAACGGATTATAATGAAACAGTTGCGCCGTTTTACCAACGGTCTAGACACAAATACTTTGTTGATAAACCGTGGGCGCTAAAATCGTGAAAAGACGGTGAATCTATAAAGCATGCAAGATTTTATTTACTTTTTCGTCAACTGAAACTTTTTTATTTCGGTCCGCTTAGGTTTTAGAATAAAGTTAAATATTACACGCAGCTTCATTCAGCAATTTGACATTAACAATCTAAGTTGAAAACTAGGCGATCGATTAGTGAAGAAAGAGTTGAAGAAATCCGAAAGAGGTAAACTAAGGTTAGTTGAGTAATCACAACACAGACGTCGAGACAAAACTTCTTGTCTTTCCATCAAATGCCCTGGATAAAATACCATGAGGAAACAATTTAAGAATCGACTCTACCTTCAGGGCACAATATTGGCATATTGAATGCCATGACGGCACAGACATATTCTTTTCTTTCACAACGATTTCAAGAAATGAGGAGAATTAGAACTACTAAGAAGTCAGTAGAAACCATATTCAACCTCAGCCGATGGGTTGTACAATAGAAGCCGCCACAAAGCAAGGTCGATATGACTGTGTTCTAACGAAATATCTTTCTACCCAGGCCCGAGTACATACATTGTGGAAGAAATAAATATGAGAATCAAGAATACAATGTAATGCATATAATATAGAATAATATGAGGATAATGTAACTGAGAACGACACACACCTTAATGGTTACAGATGAGCGTACAGTATTAGAAAATTGCAGATTTCTAAACCCAATTGAATTAATATTTCGAAACCGACTTTCCTTGAACCTCGGTATCACTAATCAATATGTATTCTTTCTTTGATGAGCTTACACGAGGTTGATAATGATGTTTATTTTCGGCTAACGTTTCGACGTCTTCGTCTTCCTCAGAGCCGATGATCCGAGTCGATGGTCCTCGCTTGCTATTCGCCTCGACGTGGCAGCTTCGCCTTCATGTCGAGTTAGGTCTTCTTCAGTGAGCCATCTCCTCGAATGAGGCATCCTTGCTCAGTGATGCCCTTTTATACACGATGCTGATGGTCGATATAATGATAATGCCCGGTGATAACAACTTCTTTTTCTTCCCGACATACATCATTGCGCACATCGTGCAGAAGCCGGTGTTGTTATCAGCTAGCACAAAGCGTAGTAATATTTTTTGTAATATTAGTAGCGTAATATTATATTATTATATTATAATAGTAGCGTAGTAATATTTCAAGCGCGAAAAACTCTCGAGGCACTCTGGATTAATTCCAGAAATCCGAAAATGAACCGCAGGGAAGAATGCCTCATAATCACACGTGGTATAGGGCAGTATATAAGACTGCTATTCTGATGGGAGAGGCACATTATACTTCCATGTGATTTCTGTGCGGTTGGTCTCTACGTGACATACTTAGTGGAAACCTCATAGAAAGCGGTGAGTGTGCAAAACTGTGTTCAAAGTGATTGAAATCTTGGTTTGGAGTTTCTTTGTTTGGTTATGGAGGCGTCTGGCCGAGTGAGTTGCTATCAACTTGACCTTTCCAGGCTCTGGGGAAGGCGAAATCCGCCGAAACGTCAGCTTATTCGTGAATAAAGAACAATAACACCTCGCGTTTGCTCAACAAAAATGCGAAGAATTACTTGATCAATGCCGAGGTTAATAGAAAGTCGGTCGTGGGAGTTACATATTAATTAATTAACTCAATTTATCAACACTGCGCGAGAGAATTTTGTCACACCCTTGGTCTCCACTCTTGAAATAGTTCTTATAAATGTGTCGTTTTCTTGTTCAGCAATCGCGAGGTTTTTAAACAGCATACATTTACTTCCATAAAAACACAATACAATACAACGCTAGCTGACGTTTCGGCAGTATCGCCTTCTTCAGAGCCTGGAAGGGTATACTGATATGCAATCTACTAGGCCAAACGCTTTAATAACACTTACAAAAAGATGAAANCAATTTATCAACACTGCGCGAGAGAATTTTGTCACACCCTTGGTCTCCACTCTTGAAATAGTTCTTATAAATGTGTCGTTTTCTTGTTCAGCAATCGCGAGGTTTTTAAACAGCATACATTTACTTCCATAAAAACACAATACAATACAACGCTAGCTGACGTTTCGGCAGTATCGCCTTCTTCAGAGCCTGGAAGGGTATACTGATATGCAATCTACTAGGCCAAACGCTTTAATAACACTTACAAAAAGATGAAAAACTCTTTGGTAACTACACGATCAACAACTCGAAAAACCTAGATGGCAAACGAAAACTAAGACGGAGCACCCCACTAGGCACGCATAGGATACAAAAGCATAGCGGAGACGATTTTGAAGTAAAAGTCAATATCCTTGCACAGGAGTCCAAAACACCACGCGCGAAAACTCCTAGAGGCTTTTTCGATCAATGCCAAAAACCTTACAATGAATAGCAGGGACGAATGCCCGGAGGTCATACGCGACCTGATCCCGTACGTTCGCATCGATTTTTGATGTGGGATGGTGCAGTCGTCAACCACATGCGACTATAATCAGCTGTTCTAAACTTCCTCATTGGAAGTCACGAAAAAGCGGTGGGTTTTTCGAGAAGTTGTTGATCGTGTAATTACCAAAGAGTCTTTCGTCTTTGTGTAAGTGTTATTGAAGCGTTTGGCCTAGTAGATTGCATATCAGTATACCCTTCCAGGCTCTGAAGAAGGCGATACTGCCGAAACGTCAGCTAGCGTTGTATTGTATTGTGTTTTTATGGAAGTAAATGTATGCTGTTTAAAAACCTCGCGATTGCTGAACAAGAAAACGACACATTCATATTCCAATGCCAAGGTTAAGAGAAAGTCGATCCTGGGAACTATAGTCCTTATAGTTACACAAAGCTGATTCCCTTAATTCAGAAAGTCAAACAACCTCAGCGTTCACACTAGAAGTGTTCATAGGTTGCTTACCACATCCAGTTTCGTAATCATTTTAGCAATTTTCTAAAAAGGCAGAATAAACCAACTGCGATTTTGGCGATTTTGTAAAAGATTTATCTTCTTTGGAAATAATTCAGTCATTAAAGGAAACGTCGAAATCTAAAGAAAATACGCTGTGGTTCTTCTCCAGTTCATAGGGCATTCGATCTTCGATTCGAAGCCTCAGATAAAGCTTTGAAATAGTCGGCAATTGCGCATGGTTTGGCTAAAAAACGCAGTCACGTCGTGAAAGCACTCTCTACTTCTGATCAGAGCCGACAACAATGGAAAGACAACAGTTTTCGGCACCAACTCAGAAAACCATGACTATCTTAGAGTATCGGAGAAAAATCTTCGCTGTCAGAACTATGGACTTAAACACAGACTTGGATGGCTTGCCAGCAAGTTGCGGAGTTCACAGCACAGTTTATATTCCTTTCTCTCTCGTGCGATAGTCATACGTGTTTGTGGGGGTCTACTTCGAACATGCTGACGTCTGCAATACCTACTCGGTAATCCTGAATTCGGTATTATCTGCGAATACTAAAGGTTGACGTTATCCACGAACATGTTTGCCCATCGCTTGGTTGCTCCATCGAGATAACAACTGGTTCCTCTCGGGAGCCACACCACTGCTGTTTTCGTCCATCTCTCACGTGTTTTTCGTATATCGGTACTTCGCTATTGATGCATATTGTATTCTGAATCTCGAAAATGCGACAGTTTCCAAGACCGCAAGAAAAATCGACTTAATCAGTATACTAAAACATTCATGAAGAGGACGGGAATGCTCAAACAGTAGTGGAAACAATAAGTGAAATGTTTGCATTCCTTTGTGGACGATTAATGAATAAAGAACGAATCCAGTGCAAATTCTCGAATCTGTACAGTAGATACGATGATTTCCAAGAGGGATGGAAGGCTTGGTGAGCCTTAGGCACGGGGATCGATCACATGTGTATTGCAGGGCGTCTCTAACCACTGCGCTACACGTGGCCTTATGGTTATGTAAAATAAAAATGAAAATAAAAAGTCTTTTATTTGGTGCCTAGCATAATTTTTTATGGCAAGGTATGATGTGAAATAGAAGCACAACGATGCTGATATATTGGCAAAACTTGGTTCCTGTGCTAGGTCGAATCACGATTACACTTTTCGGGGCGATACACGAGCACTCGAAAAGGGTAAGCGGGATTCGATCTGGCCCGGTGCCCAAGTTTTGCGAATATCTTAGCATGATTGTGGTTCAAAAAAAATATCGTTACTCATCGCCATTATTATTCGCTATTAATATTACTATTATTACCATTATTATTATTATCACTATTACGATCTCTAAAATATTGCTTTCTTAATACTTACGTGTCCACCACCTACAAACTTTGCAGTGCATGTTTTTTCCTAATAATTCAAAAAACCTTTTTGCTGTTGCTGTTGTTGTTGCTGCTGTTGTTGTTGCTGTTGTTGCTGTTGCTACTGTTGTTGTTGTGAATTTATTCATCTTGGATGGCAAAGTCAATGAAATAGACAACTCTTCAGGGAATGCGATAGATTCATGGCGATCCTCCGGATGGTAACCCACATAATCGTTGTGCGGATCATGTTGCCCACTATTAACGCAAATGTGTAGAAAAATTTGGTCACTGGCAAATATTTCGATCTGCTCGACAGTCAGCGAACTGAGTAGCGACGAACAGTCGTCCGTTATGACATACACAAAGTTGTAGTTGGGGAGGGCCACGACCTGCACTTCGTGGTTGGCCATCCATGAATATGTTCGCCGATTCAAGTCGTATTTCACCCTAAACATTTTTACGATTTGATCCTAGACACAAATTATAGCAAAACGGAAAATAATGAAGTATTTTTCTTAAAGATTTTTGTCGATAACTTCTCCGCTATAGGTTACTGGCTTCTAATTCACTGAACTATGGGTTTACTACTATGGACTCGTGTGGCGCAGTGGTTTGAGGCGCACTGCGACGGACACGTGGAATCGATCCCTACGCCCATGTCCCACCAAGACTTCCATTCCTCCAGACTCGGCAAATTGGTACTAGACTTGTCTAGGAGGATATCAGCACTGGCTCGATACATCGGTAGGCCACCACGAGTAAAGGCGAGATATGCATTCAATCACCTCCAACGATGCTTAATGAAGTCAAATGTATGGCGCATCTCTCAAGGATTGATCAACGCTGAGAGCTTTATCCTTTTATTTTTCATGGGTTTACACAGAACACCCTCTTTCTTACCGACCTGCTTCGAAGCTAGACTAATGTCCAGAAGAGAATTTACTCGAATCTCGCCGGCTGCGGTAAGTAGCTCGATATCCTGAGCAGCATCGACGGATACACTTCGTGTTGGTGATTCAAACCTGAACTGGATTGGACGTAAACATGTAAGCAGTACAGAATGCAAATTCATATGCAAATGTACTGAAATGACGGCACGGTAAAACTGCATTGCATTCACAAATACGCAATATCTGTGCAGATACTGCTAACGAAAGAACTATCGCACTAATTTTAAATCATACACTATTCAACTCCGGAAGTAGTCACAGACGCGCCTACAGTAGCAAAAATAAACCTCAACGCTAACTAAATTCACATGAAATTGTTCTATAAATGGGAAACTCGTCCAGTAATTTGTTCATAGATGGCCCCCTTACTGAGAGGTTTCATTAGGCATTGAAATAAAGCGCTAAGAACCAATAAATGAAGACAATAACAATAAAACATAAACAATAATTCAAAAATGAAAGCATTTTGTTCGTCCGTGCAAAAGCCAACATAGGACTAAAATATGAATAATATATAGTCACCATAGGAAGAAGTTAGCCCCACAACGTAGTGATTGGGATGGGGTCCAAGACACGGGAATATGGACTGTGTTTTTGATGAATCATAAAATTGGATGTATTTAACAAATTCAAAACCATAAATAAAACAAAGAAACAGAACAATGAATTCGCTGTGAATTCAACTACCTTAAAGGTGTGTCAGGTTCAGGTCGAACAAATGCCGTCTGTATGGCGCCTTCAAACACACTGCCCCCATCATCTGAAGTTGAAAAAAATGGGAAAAAAAACTTGTAACACTGTTTAACTTCCCATTTACTGCCTATTGTCTTTCATGGTAAAATATTTTGTGAAATACAACCAAAACGATTGTGGGACGTAAACAAAACCTGGACCGGAGGCCAAATTCGACCACGCGATCACCCTTTCCGGAGGATCACTTATTAACTACTGCACTACCGCGACTTTTGCTTTCCCTTTCTTAAGACCAGTTGTTGGCTCAGTGGGTAACACGTGATACATTTGAAAGAGTAATCGCGGGCTCGAAGTTGGCCTGAGTTTTCGACACTTGCAAATATCTCAGCGTCTGAACTGCGATATTGTTGGATTATAGTTTCCACACAAAACACACCTAAAATACGAAGATTTTCCAGTTTTAATCCTACTTCCTTTGAGTCAGCGAAGAACAGTAGACGATTATCAGAATCGAACACCTTAAGAACCAGCGGTTTCCTCAAAATTAAACAAGAATTCGGATTTAAACCCTTAATGTTCCGCTAAATTACTGATAAGGAGAAAAGTGTGGCGCTTACGCTTCTCTACATTTTTCAGCTTGTAGTAACATTTTTTTGATTTCATACTACTAAATACACTTCGACATGAAAAACACATTACAGCATACCGGCGACCACATCTAATTTTTCGCTACGCACAGTATGCATTGATCCCAAAGCATACATCTCGTTGCACCGTTCTGCCACGCATATGAAAACAAGTACACCATTCATAAACAATAGTATCTATGTTCTTCCATCAGTACCAAAACAAAGAATGTCCACGGGACTCATTTAGACGTATCCGTAGAACTACGATGTCTCAATGCTCTCCTTATCAACAGCCTACGTAGCGTGGCAAGCAAACTCGTCCGAAATCAGTTTTTCACTGCATTATTAATTGTAGATCGCAGCCTCTCTCTAACCAATACGACATCTGTGAAGGCGAAATTATCGCTTGATTATAAAATGAAATATGTTCATGCGCTCAGGTTTACTTGGATATATCACTTAAGAAATTATCTGGTTATATTGTTGATTGATTTCGAATGATATCTACCTCAAATCGATCACAAATAGCCTGTGTTTTTCCGTCAGCTGTCAACGACAATCGTGCCGAGATCTGCCCCGAAGCGTTTCGTGCTTGCATATGAATATCACGAAAAGAGTCAATCGTTAGCGCTTCGTCCTTGAATATTCGTAAAATCCATTAGCATTGAAAACATCTGTGGTGCTAACAAGCTATTTTATGTGTATACGGAAGATAAAGCTTCAGCTTTATGTCAACCTCTAACCAATATTTTACAGCTTCTAGAGAAAAATCAATAGTTTAGCTATCTGCTATAAGACTTCGTTCTCATTCTGTGACCTTATCAATACGATCACTAGAATACCCTGATAAATCATGAACGTAGAGTGAAAAATCGATGAAAACTCTAAAGAAAATCATAAACTGAGAAAAAAGATATCAAGTGGTTTGCATCAAGAAGTGGTGTAAACAGAAAAGAGAAGATGAAAACTAGTGGATGTTCTGAAGGACTACGGAGAACAAGAAAAGTCGTAAATATTATCGATTTGAATTGGATAAAAGGAAGAAAGACAGGAAGAAAAATCACCCTAGCTGTACTCAAATGTGAAAACGTGACCGGTTTATTGAATTGAGCTCGTCCTTCAACACGAATACCATCTTCCTGGATTTTTAATGCACCCATACCGTCCTGAATCTCATACGACATAATGTTCTTTCAGAAGTTCCTCTTTACTATTTGTTTGAAGTAAAATTCATAGTAATAAGCTGAGATATAAATTAAATGGTCAGCGCTTACCGTGGAGAAATCCAAAACTGACATTATCCATGCGGTTAATGCGAGATTGAGTACGATAATTATAGTTAAAATAAGAATAAATATGTAGAGACATCGCTTCCGCCAGCCGTAGATTCCGACTCTTAACAATAAACATCACAATGTGACTCTATATCCTATTTTTGAAATCACTTCCCTAGTTATATTTCCATATCGATTGATTTTATCTCTAACTTGTTATCTACTTAAGTTTTTCTAGCTCGTTACTTCAAAGTCGTACTATAACCCTGAAAAAGTGCGATGATATCAACTTTCGGCTACGAAACTGATAAAATTATCACCGCATCCATTAATTTAAAGAACGTGAAACATTGCCATTTTAGTCATTTCCTACCAAATCCGTGGTGCACGATGATGATTACGGTAATTGCTAGCTGGATTCAATGACGCTGTGAGCCGAAGGTTTTCAGGTGTGGAAAAATTAGCCCTACCTTATAACATCTAGAAACTACTCACCTGTAGATGTCAGCGTCAGCAATCGGTTTCATCGCGGAATGAACCACAGTAGTATGTGTAGTTGCGGCCGGATAGGTGGAATAGGGCATCGACGGCTGTGATGGTAGAAGGGAGGCGCAGCGTGGTGGTTCAGGTACTGAACGATCTCTGCACCAGACCGCTGAGTCGTTTACGCCGTACATCGGATAGCGGCTGCTCATGTCTATGAGGATCATCACAGCAATTAAAAATGACTGCTGTATGGATGGAAAATTTTCAGAAAATGAAAAAAAACAGAAGAAATAATTTTAACTTATTACATTCTGCCTACTCTTTTTAATGGCAGGGTGAATTGCGAAATATAACGTCAGTGATGCTGAGATATTTGCAAAACTCCAGACCGCAGGTGTCTATGGTGGGGAAAGAACGAGCTATTGTCCTTTCCGGGGAGTAACGCGTTCACCACCACACCATGCGGGTCCTTCGTTTCGACTGTCTCTCAGCTAGTTCTATCGATCTTTACCAGAAGATGACAGAAGAAATAGTCTAAAATAAATAACGCTGGCGCCCATTTAAAAGCCTTTTATAGTTTTTGGATTTACGAGCGATCACTTCATACGAGACGAATGACAGTTATTACAACTCGACTACAAAAACTTCAGGATTTAGAAAAAGCAAGGTGCTCACAGCTTAACTAGTAAAGCCCGCCATTCCCTTAACATCGAAATGAAAGTTAGGACATGAGTTTAGTGCTAAAGTGATAAAACATTAGCAGTGCAGCAACGAAGTTCTGCTGTTTTCTTGAATAATGACTCCCCACCAAGAAAAAATATACTTAATTCTTTCTTACCCTATCTGTATTTAGATCACGTCCGATTATGTCACCTTATCCAGAATGTTATCATTTTTATTATTCGACGATAGATTTTTCTCTGCCAAGGCCTTAAATGGTGATGAGCTTCACGGATGACGTTGTATGACGTACAACACGTAGGGCATCATCGACATCGTTCAAACAACGAACGATATGAAGAAAATCTGATATGTCAACAAAATAAGTGCAAAATATAACTCGTATATGTAATGTATAATGCTGAGATATTTGCAAAACCCCGGACCGCAGGTGTATTTAGTGTGGAACGAACGCGCGCTGTTGTCCTTTCCGAGAAGAATAGCGCACTTCACCACCACACCATCCGGGTCATTCGTCTTGCCTGTCTCTCAGGCTAGTTCTATTGATCTTTTGCCATCAGCAATCACCCTTCAACGGGATTGATCTGGGAAGCCCAAATCGGCATTGAACCCAGTTAAGTGTGAAATAATTTCGAACACACAGGCTTTCAGATTATCCGGGAATTGATATCGGCTTTCTAATTCCATCTCTCTTGTATATGCTTTAGTTTTTCAGCGTTATACTACTACATATCATTTCGAGACTCATTTTGCACATTTTCACCTGATCTAATCAAATTGTAATATTGAATAAAAGGGTGCGGGTGGCGCTGTGGTCGGAGGCGACCTGCAATGCAGATGGGATCGATCCCCGCGCCAGTGGCTCACCAAGCCTACCATCCCTCCAGGGTCGGAATTGGTATCAGACTTGTCTCGAAGGATAACAGCACTGGCTCGATACATCGGTAGCTCACCGCGAGCCATTGTAAAGGCCAGATATGCATTCAGTCACCTCCAAACGATGCTTAATGAAGTCGAATGCATGGCGCATCCCTCACGGATTGATCAACACCGAGAGCTTTATCCTTTTATTACAATATTGATCGCTTTCTGAACATTTCTATAGGTTAAAATTTGAGATGTAAAAACAGCAGTGTTGATAAGTTTACATTTGTGAATCCGAACTCGATCGTTATGCAATCCAAACTGCTCAAAACATACATTAGTGAGCTATAAAACAACGAAGTGTTAGCAAGTGCACAATGCGATTTAGTTTCAAAAATTTTTTTCTGGGGAGTTCGACTTTAAAGATGACGTAGGCCTCGGGAGTTGTTCTGCTAATGACGATGATGAATTGAAAAGCTCGATGAGGTCAAGTACGTATACGACCGTTCGAGAATATGCAGGAAAACTCACTGTAAGCTTCTCAACTGTTTCGAAACAACCACCACGTTGCTGAGATATTCACAAAACTCTGGACCGCAGGTGTCTGTGGTGGAAAACGAACGCGCTATTGTCCTTTTCGAGGAGTAACGCGTTCACCACCATGCATGTGGGTGCTTCGTTGTCTCTCAGCTAGTTCTATCGTTCGTTCCCCACCATAGGCACCTGCGGTCCAGAGTTTTGCAAATATCTCAGCAACGTTGTGGTTGTATTTCGCTTAGTACCCTGCCGTGAAAATTGTAGTAGGCAGAAAATAAAATGGTAAAACATTGTGTTTCGAAACATTTTTAAAAAATTACAATGCTGCGAAAGCTGGAAAAGTTGAAGCAGTACGGACTAAATGATCCGTCCGAAGGATAAAGGATGACCACACTTCCTAGTGCCGATGCTACAATGGTTGAACGAGCCGTGCTACGAAGCTCTGCTTCATCAACGATACTCACAAGACCACTCTTCCACCGACAACTACTTTCTCAAGCATCTCGAGGACTTCGTGCAAGGGAATGCTTCGGAAACAACGCCAAAGACGAAACTACTTCCAACTTCATCTCATGCAGAATTTTAGAATTTTGGACAATAGGGATAAGTAAAGTTGCACCTCGCTAGCAAAAATGTTAGGTTGTAACGGCTTTATTTTACTAATAACGTTCATTCTGAGCTGAGATATGCCACTTTGAAAGCAAAATTTGAAGTCCGGCATCAATTTCGGAACAGTATAATGCATCTAATATAACACTGGTCTTTTGCTAAATCAAAGCCGAACAGCCGAATTCTACGCATATTAATCACCAAACTGATAGCTTCGTATAAAATCTAAGGTGGACCTATTATTTTGCACCAAATAAGGAGTCAAATAAAAATTGGAGCATTTTAAACAAGTGAAAAGGTCTTTGGTCTTGTATTCAACAGCCATACTGTGATGAAACAGTAGTCGAACTCGCTTCAAGAAGAGAACAGTTTTTGCGCTTAAAAGAAATCATCAAATGCGGATTGAATTGATTTCATTGCATGGAATTTCCTTTTTCAATGTCACTCAGTCACTAACACTAATCCAAATTCAATAGTCAAGAAAACCTTAGGAAATTAGATCTAATAAAATGGAAAACGATAAAACGACGCTTTTTTACTTCCTAGAAAAGTTAGAGTTAAAAGAAAAACAGTTGGACAACCAAGAATGACACATGAAGTGTGATGTTGAAGAGCAAAACCTACCTCCTATGGGGTCGAATATTTGAGCAGGGCTACGTAATCCAAAGATTAGTTTGGCAGACTAAAGCTTACTCGTGATTGAAATTTTCACTCTCTATTATCCAGAAATAGAATAATATGATATTTTATAGAGGTATAGAATCTAGTGAATGGCTACAAATCGATGCTGTGCTCCCGTACACTTTACACATACGAGATTCTTATTGTTACTGCCGCAGTTTGATGAGGACGAACGGCAACTGCCACGAGTTCCAGGCAACTCCAATATGCTCGTATCATAAGAACTCGCACGGAAACACTTCAAAAAGAGTTGTAACTTCAATTTTAATTACCCCTTATTTAAAAGCTCTTACTTTTTTCATTTTTTGAAATAATAGCGTTGTCAGGTAACTACTAAAGTCACAAGGAAGTCACAAAAAAGCGGTGGGTTTTTCGAGAAGTTGTTGATCGTGTAATTACCAAAGAGCCTTTCGTCTTTGTGTAAGTGTTATTTGAAGCGTTTGGCCTAGTAGATTGTATATCAGTATACTCTTCCAGGCTCTGAAGAAGGCGATACTGCCGAAACGTCAGCTAGCGTTGTATTGTATTGTGTTTTTATGGAAGTAAATGTATGCTGTTTAAAAACCTCGCGATTGCTGAACAAGAAAATGACACATTCATATTCCAATGCCGAGGTTAAGAGAAAGTCGATCCTGGGAACTGTAACTACTAAAATTTGAAAACATGGCGGTTTAGTTAGGGTATTCCGTCTCGCTTTTTTCCTACCTTATTCTAATTTTTTAAATGCTACTTCTTATAAGAAACAATTGCAAAAAAATCTCCTTCGAGTATAAGTAAGAGTTTAACCTTCATTCATTAAGTGAAGAAGACTCTAATTTAAATTGCTCAACTATACTCAACTGTCTACATCATTCGTATTCGAATATTGATAGATTGCCGTAATATAATCACGAATACAACCTAACAAATATGTTACACTAGTAAAGAAGCACGTACGAAGAGAGAAGAAAAGAGAGAAAAGAGAGAGAGGGAGATAGAGAGAGAGAATACATCCACAATTAATGAATACCGCATATAAATAATAACCTTGCCCATATTCAATGCGAACACCTATAAGCAATAAAACTAGAAACTATATCACAAGAACAAAGTTGCTGAGATATTTGCAAAGCTCTGGACCGCAGGTGTCTATGGTGGGTAACGAACGCGCTATTGTCATTTCCAGGGAGTAACGCGTTCACCACCACACCATGCGGGTCCTTCACAAGACTTGTACTAAACACCGAACGTGGCAAGATATGACGAATACAATATCGAAAAAGTTAAATACACTATAAGACATGCTTAATAATAAAATCATGTACAACCGAAGTTTGCAAACTCTTGGCACCCCTTGAGGCATACTGTACTACTACAGAACCGTAGCAACACCAGACCAAGATGGGTTTCATGGTGGGATTAAGTAATGGCTAGATTATAAACACCTGTTGGTATGCATTCCTACTCAGAGAGGAAAGTGGAATAAAGACATGAAATCCTCCACATGATCATCTGAAAACTGAACTTTAATAAATTACTGCAGGCAATTACGATAGCCTGTAGTTCCTTGGTTTTACATCATTGGGCATAATTTTGAGTGCTCTACATGGAGATTGCATGAAATCATCTGCACTAAACAGCATACAGACGATTTACAATGCTGTTGATAACAAAAAAAACCACTACGAACCAAAAGAAGGCCATTGTTTTTTTTACTGCTATTAGTTCAACAGCCTTAGGACGATTGTTGCACAAAGAACAGTCGGTAACTTATACGTGATGGCAGCGGATTTTCTTGGACAACCATTCAGATACATGTGACAGGGAAAACGTCGCTCTGAAAAACTCTGTGTATTATAGTTCTTTTCTTTCCTCCTCTTTCTTCTTTTTACTATTGAAAAATTTTGGCTATTCATATAGCACAATGTCGTATTTTGCGTTGAATTCGGAACATAAATTTTTCTTATAAAGTGATCTTTTTTGAGCTGATGTGAGGTTGATATAGGTTTTCGTTGTCGTTGTCGTTGTTGTTGGTATTGTTTGCCAATGACTGACGTTTCGGCGATTTTGACTTCTTCAGAGCCGTGCTGTTACGAGTGGGACGAATCGCTGAAACGTCAGCCATCGACCAATCACACCAACAACAACGAGAACGACAATAAAAACCTATACCAACCTCACATCAGTTCAAAAAAGATCGGTCTATGAGATTACACAAATAAATATGTCAACTACTTATGCCGAGAATTATAGAAAGTCGGTCTTTTGAATTAATAATAAATTTCTCTGGCAGCGTGGCATAACATTGAACACCAGACCTTCGTTCATCACTTTATCACTAAAACTGTGGCCTAAATGCAGTACTACACCAAAAGATTACGGAGAAGAAACTTTTTACTATCCTAATATTCTACATCAATTTCTTACCACTCCTTTTCCCGAAATCCGGCTTCTCTACTTCAGTACCAACAATCTGAATCCAGTCACTTTCCATTGCCACATTTGTGTTCATATACGCACGAAGTTTCACTTTATATGCGACATTAGCTCTAAGTATACCATTACAGTACTGAAAAATTAGATAGTACTCGAAAGTCCTTTCATTACAAGGGCCATAGTGTTAGCGTACCGGTTCGTCAAAACTTTGACGCCGACAATCATCGGTTCCAATCGTAAAATTTGCACTATTAGAATTTTCTGTGAACGGTTGCCACAATGACGACGATGCCCTAGAGGAAATGAAGTTAGATTTTGCGTAGATGGATAACACTGCTCGGCCTAGTCTCATCAAATCTTTGCTTAATCAAGCTAGAGTTATGGTCAATCCTTTCTTGTGTCCTAACATTTCAATCCGGTGTGGAATACAGGACCTAAGCAGATTATGAAAACCTTGTTCAAGTTGAAGTTGCATAGCCGAGCTTTCTTACCTTACGAGCATAAAGTACGTAAAGAGAGACGTCAATGCATTAGTAAATACACCTCTAAGTGGGTTTCTACATGAATAGCATAGATGTGCTCAACACAGCAAACCTGTATGATCCCCACGTTTCATCGTCTTTAACCTCGAACCACGACCTTAGTTCATAGTCGTCATCATTAAGCTGAATAATTAAAATCAGAAAAAGCAGATTCAAATTATAGAGCAAATAAACTTAAAAATAACAATCCAAGAGAGCTCAAAGCCTGATTTCAACAAAGTTCTTAAAGAACTGATTAGCATGCTTATTCCCCTATTATCTTAACCTCTTCTAACAGCTAAAATTCGCTCTGAAGTGTATAAGCGAGCTACTTTCTTCATACAATATTCAATAATAAATCATAAATTATAGGTAGGATACGTACAGCGTAGTGGAGATGCCCTATATCATACATATGGACCTCGGTTCAATCTACACCAGACCAACAAAACCTATCACGTCCTCCCCTAACTCTTCGGAGTCACCACAACAATGCCAGATTTTTGAGGATAAGCTCAATCGCATCGAGAAAAGTAACCGACCGCCTGGATAAGTAACCTGTGAAAACAAAACAAAGCTCACCCATGAGTCTACGAAGTATCAAATCGATAGCGTTCATAAATATTCGTAAACAAGACAAAGTACCTAAGCAACAGCCGAACGTACAAACCAATCCGAAGGGCTTTGTAGATAGATGACGGATGTGTGAATAAAGCCAATTTAAAAAATGGCATCTGTACCTTATTTGAATATGGGTCATATAGAAAGGAATAAAGGGTAACGCTCTCGGCGTTGATCAATCCTTGAGAGATACGACATGCATTCGACTTCATCAAGTATCGTTGGAGGCGATTGTATGCATATCTGGCCTTTACAGTAACTTACGGTGGCCTACCGATGTATCGAGCCACTGCTGCTATCCTCCCAGACAAATCTGGTGCTAATTTGCCGACCCCGGAGGGATGGAAGGCTTGGTGGACCATGGACGCGAGGATCGATGCCACGTGTGTGTCGCAGTGGCAACCACTGCACCACACGCGCTCTTGGGTCATATAATACAAAAAATAAACTGAAAAAATCACACGCAGAAATAAATTTATAACTGCCCACGAACACTAATGTCGTCGGAAACAATAACCGCAATATTATCGAGAGCACCGTTCAATGACGAGAACACCTAAAAGGATCAAATAATTAGTAGTTCCATTTCTACATAAAACATTGAAAAAGGGAAAAGTAAACCGCAAAGTCCTAAATTCTGGACAAAAATACAACTTCTGTGTACATATAATGAAGCTGAAATCATTTTCTAAATGACTAAGTTAACACGAGGTTGGTACAATTTTTATTCGACTAACGTTTCGGAGCCTTTCGCTGCAGTTGAAATCACGATGTTTAAATTTCCTATTTACTCCTTATTATATTTTTTATGGCACGGTCGCATGAGAAGTACAACAGACTACAGCTTCAGCATGATTGCTGGTAGCATCGATAGTGTTAAACCATAGTTAACCGAAAAGCAAAGCTAAGGCGCAAGTTGGTGTGGTAGATAGCACGTAAGCCTCCGGAAAGCGTAATTGCGAGCTCGAAGCTGGCCTGGTGTTCCGAGTTTTGCAAATATCTTAGCATCATTCCGTTCGTATTTCACATAATGCCCTATCGTAGAAAAAATAATAGGTAGGAATTGAAAAGCTTACGTACTTACCATACTTGTGTTTGTAACCTCCTAACGGTTTACCGCCTCACCATGGCTGGAAGGTGTTCCTGCGTGGCGGACTGCGACGTACAGCGGGGGATTCGTCCACCCAGCAGGGTCTCCCAAGCTGAGGAATCTGGCGTTTCCATCAAAAAGCCTAGCTAAGAGTAAACCAATAAATACCAGGATCCATCACTATGCTGGTTATCAAAGTCGCATGGTGGCAAATCTCCCTCTGATCCACAAGGGCTGCGACTGCCCGTGGTGGTGAAAACCTGGGGCAGACTTTGGCCAGACTGACCTCGGGATTCCAGGGAACCACGATGGCTTAACCAGCAAACCTCCGAAAAATGGTGATTATGCTGGGGCTGCACAACCAGTGAGGACAGGCCCTCCACGCATCAAGTATCAAGTACCATGTATTTGCAAATATGCTGATTGAAAGAAATTTTCCGACGATGATTTCTTTTTTTTTTCTAATAACTTCTGTAATGCTGAGACATTTGCAAAACTCGGGACCGCAGATGTCTGCGGTGGGGAACGAACGCGCTACTGTCCTTTCCTCGTTCTTTCGTTTCGCCTGTCTCTCAGCTAGTTCTATCGATCACTTGACATCGGCAATCACCTGTTAACGGGATTGATCTGGGGAGCTCGGCATTGAACCCAGTTAAGCTGAGGTTATAGTTCTAATAACAATCTTAGCCTCTTTTTATTTACTGCCTATTCTTTTTAATGACAGGAGTAGCCGAGAGACAGGCGAAACGAAGGAGCCGCATGGTGTGGTGGTGAACGCGTTACCCCCAGGAAAAGACAATACCGCGTTCCCCACCGCAGACACCTGCGGTCCGGAGTTTTGCAAATATCTCAGCATTATAGATGATTTCTTTGTTCGAAAAAATTTATCTAGTCCTACTAAGTATAAACTTGCTTTTTAAGTTCGATACAAAATATTTGTTGATCACAAAAGCGAATGGAAATCGAAAACTAACCTTAGAAACCAAACTTATGTGTTAGCACTTATGACAGACTTCATGGTACTTTACTTATTCTTTTTTTCCAAAAGTTTGCAATAACAACTTAATTTCTCTTAAAAACAGTTGATGTTCAATTATTTGTAGACGATCAAACTAACACGCGGCTGCTGTAAAACCATTATTCAACAAACGTTCCGGCTCCTTCACGTTAAGTGAAGATTTGGATGAACACAACGCCAAGAAACACGGAGCTGCGGAAGCGTTAGCCAAATAACACTTTTATAAGGACCTCGTGTTACCTTACTCATCTAAGAACAATTCAATTAGTTTTGCCTAAGTTTACGAAAATTAGAGAGACTGTTCAAGGAAAAGAAGGTGAGGATGATCTCACCTGTTGGTCGTTTTCGAATTTCAACAACAACTCTCGGCTTCCTTGACGTTTTAAAGTCGCTGTTAGTCGTCCTTTAATAGTTAGTAGTAAACGAGTTTTTATTTTTAACACGTGAAAAGAATGCGATAACCCTTCTCAAAATACTTAAAAGGTGATACAATACGAACTCAATAAAATCAATTTACTGGGTTATCACTACCATACAAAGGGGGAAAATCCGTGTTAAAGTTAAAAAACGTCTGTTTGCTTTCTCTTGCTCCTCATTTTGATGTTAGTAGCGCCAAAATTAAAACGGAAGAAAGTGAAAGCTTACCACTTGGAACATAGACGGTGATCATTTCGCTCTCACTTTCAGCAGTCGCTTTCCCAACACCCATGATTACCGTAATGGTGAAAGTGTAATAGATATTCGGTAGAAGACCATCAAATCGATGACGATTTACGCCCTTTAAATTGACGGACACGGTACCAACTTTATCCGCATTGTAACTAAAGCCACAAATGTATATTTATTATTATACTATTTCAGGATAACTCACTTTAAATAACTCTCAAATGTAAGGCAGTTATTGAAAATATTAGAATGAAAAGTAATCTGCTACCAGAATAAAAATAAGAATCAAATAGAAACATGACCTTAGCCTAAAACGACAATCAGCATAATTCTCCACATTCCAATAAAGTACCACATACTCGTAGCCAACTACCGGATACAAAGCGTTTACTTTTAACGGGTCTGAAACATCAACGGCCATTGTAAACTTGTCTGGAAGTCAACGATCTTGAATTCCAGACAGTTGAAAAACTGAAAATTCGGATCGTACAAGTTGTGACAGATTTAGTGACAGCACGACTTCGCATGCCTTTGTAGGCTGTGAATAAAGCGAAATGATAGGTTTTACCAGGAATCAGTTCTGTGAACGTCATTGACTTCCTAGAAAAAAAAGAATATAAGTGAAATACGAAGAATTCTCGCCATCAATGAATGTTCATATGGCCAAGCTGTCACGGTAGACGATACTGGTTGAGAAGGCACATGCTGTGTTAGCGAGTTTGTTGGCGATGGAGATTCTTCACGTCTTCTCGTTTTTCTTCTTTCATTAAACTCCTTCCCAACCATAGAGTCTGTTGCCTTAGTTCATTCCATTCTTTTTTGTCTTTGTAACTTGCTATAGCAAATCACTTAATATTAAATTGTTAAAATAATTGGGAACACATACCCGATAATTCGTTACCCTAGGTAAATCTGACCATGTACAAATACGAACATATATATATATATATATATATATATATATATAGAACTATAACAACGCGGATGAGCCATAAATGGTTCACATCGTTGTTAACATACCACGTAAATCCCTTTGATTTCAACAGTTCATCTGACTTTCGTTATTTTTACATTCTCTTACCGATGGAGAAAAAATCGGGAGAGTATTTAATTAAGTACCACATAGATGTTACATAGCCTTATGGAACGCTGTTTACCCAGGAAGTTTTCGAAAAAATTCTCTTAAAGACACTTTTATACCAAATTGTCATTTCACAATTACCAAAGTTTGATCTACCATGTTAAAATTGTTCGATAGGATATAGCAACATGAATTTATCGATCGACAGGTAGTTCGATGATCAGTAGAGCTATCGGTCATTCCTGGGCATTTTTATCGTTTTTTCACTCACTTTTTCATGAAGATCCTCACCAACAAACCAACCGCCACAAATACGTTATGCCAGAAACACAACCAGTATGTAGTAACGGTTTCTTTATTAAATTGTTCGAAAGTCCATAAGATTTCAAGTTGTATTTTCGAACTAACTTATGCTAACTTGGCATTCTGAAATTTCAACCTTAAAAATTTGTCAGGAACAGAATCCATATTGATGAGCTTTGGGTTAATACATAATAGTACCTCATTCAAGAAGTATTGTTAAAACTTGGATAATTGGACGGCCAGTCCTCACTGGTTGTGCGGGTTCCATATTCTCCACTTTTTGGAGTTTTACTGGTTTAGCCGTTTGGTTTCATTGGAGTCCCAAGGTCAGCTTGGCCAAAGTCTGCTCGAGGTGTTTACCACAGGCAATCGCAGCCTTTGTGGATCAGAAGGAGATTTGTCACCATGCGGCTTTGATACCAGGACAGTGGTCGATCCTGGTTTGACTTACTCTTAGCTAGGCTTCATGATGGAAACGTCGGACTCCTTCCCAGCTCTGGATACCCAGCCAAGTGGACGAATTCCCCGCTGCACATCACAGTACGACACTCAGGAACACCTCCCAGGCACGATGAATGATGGGAAGATTGTTATGATATATACAATAAGTATGAAACTAAAAATCCGCCATTAATTTTCAAATAACCTAATGATATCGTGAAAATTTAAGCACATGTTCAACTTCACTCTTGTTGTTTTTCGATCCGTTTCGTAATATTTCTACTGTTATTAGCAATGAGTACGAGTTCGTAGTGATCGAATCTGCCCTGTTCCAAGTCAGTTCCAGCAAAATTTATATTGATTGCCGTCGAAGATATTGGTCCGGGAAATAAAGTAGAAGAGATAAGAGGTGCTGAAAAATCAGCGAATACATTTGAGATATTCTATATAAGACAACGAAATTTGAAACGCTTCAAAATTCCTAACGTCTGTATACAGGTCAATAACCATGTTTTTCATATTCTGGTATTTCATTCTTCACCAAGTTACTCGACAGGACACCACTAAATTTTCCATTCGTCCCTGTTGCCCGTCAAAGCCGCCTAGTCGGCCTCGCTCGCTCGACAAACATGAAGAGTATCGAACACGAAAAGCACTTTACTACTACGACCTATGCTTCTTCTGGCTTCTCATTTACATATGGTAATCAACGATGAGTTTTCCTGCTTTGCTCTTAACTGAACCTCTGTAGGTGAACGTCGAACTGATAATCAGTTTGTATGATACAGCTAGGATAATCATAATTTTAACTAATTATTTACTGCCTACTCTTTCTAATGGTAGTGTACATTGCGAAGTAGAACTTCAATGATGCTGAGGTATTTGCAAAACTCTGAACCGCAGGTGCCTGTGGTGGGGAACAAACCCGGTATTGTACTTTCCGGGGAGCAACGCGTTCACCACCACACCATGCGGATAGATCAAGCACCCGTTGTGTACGGCAGTTTGACAAGCAAAATATCCATAATCATAAGGAGACAATAAAACACTGGATGGATAGAAATTAGTAAACAAATTTTATTGCGGAAATAGTTACCCACGAGTAATTGTTTCAAGTTCGGCGGTTTTTGATTTTAATCCAAGCTCAATGGATTCGTTCCGAACGACGATACGATACTTTTGGGCCGGCTTTAGCTTATCGAGTATCACTGGTCCGACTTCGCTCACTTGGAGCTGGGTTAATGGACCCTGAACGAATACAGGCAAAAGATAAAAGTTGTTAACATTCTTGATGCGATTCTCCCGCAGACATTCCTGCTTCAGGAATTTCTTTCACTAAGTAACGATTACTATTGAGGATTTTTTCAGGACGTCCAAAGACATTACAAAAACACGTTGATAAAAAATCTGCCTCACCTTACCGATGCCATAGGAAACCACTATCTTAAACAAATCAAAGTTCTTCACGGTAGGCCAGGTCCATTCGATCGATACTCGTGCTATGCAAAACTCGTCCGTTTCGGACCAGATCACATGCAACCCGTTAACAGATAATGGGCCTCAAAATATGTGAAATACAGCAAAAAACTACAACAAAATAAATAAATGTAAGACAACCATGACTTTTTTCAAAACTTTTCAAAAATCGGAAAAAAGGATGGCTTTTTTCAAACCATGACTTTAACCATCCTTCAAAATAAAAGCAGCATGGATCAAGATGAAAAACTATATGAAAGGTAGGAGTTCAAAAATGTAGATCTCGAGAGCAATGATAAATCACAGATATTGGTTAAATCCTATCATTTAATAAACTACGAGTTTTAATTACTACTCAAAAGGAAAGGAAAGGGCACGTTTGGCGCAGCGGTCGAGGGCGCCCTGCAACACACACGTGGAATCGATCCCTGCGCCCATGGCTCACCAAGTCTCCCATACCTCCGGGGTCAGCAAATTGTTACCAGACTTTTCTAGGAGGGTATCAGCACTGGTTTGATACATCGGTAGGCCACCACGACTCATTGTAAAGGTCAGACATGCATTCAATGACCTCCAAACGATATTAATAAAGTCGAATGCATGACGCATCCTTCTGGGATTGATCAATGCCAAGAGCTTTATCCTTTATCCCTTTACTCAGAAAGAATCGATTAAGGCACACATCCTTGGCCTTGATTTTTGAAATCAACAGAAAATAAACCGGTATAGAAAAAGATTGTATTTACAATACACCCAAAACAAAAACATAAATGGAATGGTGGAAAGCTAAGACATGGGGTAAAAAACATAAATTGACAAACTTTTCAAATAAGCGATCCTGTGCGCCCACCAAGTTTTCGATAGCGACCCGGCCAGCATACAGAAAACACGTAAATCCAGTGTGTGATTGGTAAAGAACTGTAATCATCGAAGTAGCTTAGGCTAATTGGGGCCCATCAATTGTATGATGAACAGAATTAAAAAAATCGTCGGTCCTCGCCTATGCTCTGTGCGGTTACTCTCCACCATCTAATTGGAGCACTTGCAGCGAATAAATGGCTCTGAAGAAGGCGAAACCGCCAAAACATCAGCTATTGTATAGTAACAAATTCTATAATACCAACCTCATGTTTGTTTATTGAAGAGAAATAGCGTATTTTCTAAATTTTCACATTTCTAAAGGCCTTACTCTTCCTTTTCACCATTAATCACCGTTTAGAAGTTGGCAGGACGTGTAATGCTAATGTGGCTGAGATTGAAAATGAGATTATGTAACCCGTATCATATCTTCTCCCTATGACGTCTTACTTGCTTACTTGGATGACCCGTCCTCACTAGTTGTGCGGGTCCTAGCAAAACTTCTACTTTTTCGGAATTTTACTAGTTTAGCCATTGTGATTTCCTGGAGTCCCAAGATCCGTCCAGCCAAAGTCTGCCTCAGGTCGTCACCACCACAGACATTCGCCACTGTTGTGGACCAGAGTGAGAATTGCCACCATGCGACTAGTTTGATACTAGGACGGTGGTGGATCCTGGTAATGGTTTGCTCTTAGCTGGGCTTTATAGAGAATTCCTCAATCAGATAGAGAATTCTCTATCTGCATAACTAATACAGTCCACGGAACGATGGGGATCGCGTGGCTGCAACGCCGCGCGCGTCCTCTGCGTCCATATCCCGTTCTGGCCATGGGACACACCCAGTAGTCCCGCCTTTTGACCCAATGACGCTGTGGAGACCGTCCTCGCCAGCTCCATCATTAATTCTACCCCGTTTGATTTTACCTCGCAGATTCATTTGCTTAGGTCATAATGATAGTATATATAATCCTTAGCCCTTGAATCGCTGAAACATTAATGTTATCGTTGTTTTTCGTGTAATTATGTTATCCGTGTTAACATAAGTCAAATACGTTCATTGCTCACAGGTACCTCACAAACGGTTCATAGTTCTTGCGCACTCTCGCGAACGCCCCTCACATCCTTGAGCTGTGAGCCGTTACATTGTTATGTGTAGTATTGTTAATGTGTTTTATTAGGTAACAAACCCACTGAACCACCTCATTCGCAGTTGTTGGACAGACGTTGTGTATCGCCTTGTGTTGTTATGTAAGTAGCATGTGTATACTAATAAAGGTTTAATTACCCAAGTTTGAGGTACCTCACAAACGTTTCATAGTTCTTGCGCACTCTCGCGAACGCTCCTCACATCCTTGAGCCGCGAGCCGTTACAGGCTTCCTTATGGAAACGCCAGACTCCTCAGGTTGGGAGACCCTGCCTAAGTCGTCTAGGTCGAAGAAACGTCGTTGAAATCTAAGGGTTAAGGTTATTCATCTTTGTTACTTGAACTTATACTAAAATCATTCATGTGGTTTCTGTTCAGACGTTTGCGCCATGACAACCACATTCATCGTTCAGAATATTCATAAAGAATGTCCTTAACGCGGCAACGGAGCTCATGATACCTGTACAACCAACAAATGTCAATCCTAGCTGCTAACATCTCTTCTGTTCGTGAAAGCTAGTTGCTAACATTTTATCTTTTCCAACGGTTGCATGTGGCACTACAACTTCCCACTTGTAACTCTTGTTTATTCACCAGTATTTTTTCCATCTATGTATAAAGTAAAGCATGTGTAGTGAAACGATATCCTGCAATACACACAGGAACGATAGCTGATTAGATCCTCTACCCTGCGTCACCACACCTTCCATCCCACTGGGACCGAAAAATTGAAATGAGCCTTCTCTGGGAGAATAGAAGCACAAATTTTATAATCGGTAGGCAATTGCAGATCATTGTATAAACTAGATATCTGTTCAATAACCTCTAATGATCCCTAACGATGTCGAATGCATGGCGCATTCCTCTGGGATTGATCAACTACGAGCGCTTTATGCTTTACCACTTACTCATATGGAATGCTGTTAGCACAGCAAAAAGAAGTGCCGTCCAGAACACAGTCTTTTGTTTAATCCTGCGCTCTAAGGAAGTTCCCATCCCTCCAACGTCGACGTTTTACATAATGCTTGCCAATACGGGCAAAATATCCTATTTGATCTGTTGGTAAGCTCTCGAAAGCTTATATGTAGGATAAATTTCCATCAATCAGTTTTGTGAAACTTAATGCAGTCGAATTCGTGGTGCATTAATAAGAAACGGTGGCGAACTCTTCATCCATTATCTTTTTATCCTTCACAGTTTTGGAACTCTTTGTATTAATGGACGACAAGAAATCTAGGAAAGGTATAAAGTTCACCTTTATCAGAGTAGACTCGTCTACAGTGGCGATCGAATAAGATTTCGGATGAGTTAATGATAAAACGGTATAGTTTACTAAAAATGCATCGCATAGTGCCCCATTCGGTACCGACCACATAATCCTGAACGGAACTGGAAAATTGAAGACCGTTTTTCAGTGTAGAACAAGTTTTTTTAAGAAATATCATTCAAGGCACACAAGTGTGCGTGGTATGGATACCGTATCACATTGTTTTCGGCCCTCATGTGAATCCACGACGGGTCACCGAATTCAGAAACTAGCTGTTCGACAGGAAGAACTGGATCACCCTAGAAGAAAACTATAAGAAAAAGCAGGGAAGAAGTTACAAAAGAAAGGGGAAGGAAAAAGAAGTTAAAAACTACGAAATAATAAATAAAAAACGAAAAAAACAAGAAAAAGAGAAATTTGTTGGTGGGCAACAATGTGAGTACAAGGAAGAAATAGTTGCACCGACCATTTCGAATCTGTCATCGATCACCACCTCCATAGTTGTTACATTCTCCACCGGCTTCGGTTTTGCTGTATCCTGAAAGGAAATTTTTCTTCCCGAACATCAGAAGCAATTCACGATGAGATTTAACAGTTTTTGTGCTACTAATTCACTACTGCTGCAGTTCCTTTCTCCTCATCTGTTCATCATCACCAACGATATTACTCCATTTTAGTAACAGTATTTTAGTAACAGTGGAGTAACATCCATTTTATGTCAAAATGTTAGCCTTCTAGATCGCTTTCGACAAAAAATCTCGTCTTTGCTGTTTAAACAATATCGTCTAAGTTACTTTGACATCTACCCACTTCAAAGGTGCCACTTTTCGGACCGGAATCGAAGCTTGTCGTTAACGATAACAATGCAACTTCTGAAGGGCTAAAAAAGGACTTCAATATTGATCGTGTCGTTGAATTTCAAACAAAGGTGGGATACTGAGTCAAACAGTGATAAGAAAGCTTCACTGCACAACGAAATGAAAGTGACATTTAACTAAAGCTTTCATAAAATTTTGGCGAACGGAAACGTAGGCTTTGTCCGAACTTCAACTTATACGAGAGCAAATATGGCAGAAGTCTTCTGTTCTTAGCGCTAAAGCCGATCAGACAGAAATATGGTTATTTTTGTTTTCACAGCACACTTTCACTTTATTCCATCGGATGAGCGATAATTTTATACCTGACCATTTATCGCGCCAAAATTGCCTGTGCTGACAAACTAGTAGAGTACGTAGTTTTTAGGATGGAATTCGCAATATTTCAGAACTTACTATCTAGAGATCGACTATCTTAATAAATTCAGTGACTAACGTCCTGTTACGGTAACGTCCGCCAACATGAATACGCCCACCTTGTCCAATTAGAAAAGGAGGAAAGTTCATAATTTTTCGGTAAAATGCTGTCCGTGCTCATTTCTAGCCTTCCCGCCGTCATGTGGAACCGTTCTGTTGTCATCAGTGAAACGTTTTCTACTGAAATGAACTGATTCAAATGTTCATTCATTTTTCTGTAACCCAAACATGTGCGTTTTACTACAAGTTTTGACATCCAACAGCAACTAAAATACAATTTTTGGAAATATTTTTTTAAATTCATATACCATGGCTCGGAAACGCTTCTTGTGAGGAATCCCAGGTCAGTTAGTTACGAAGCTGTGTGATATCTTCCGTTGCTTGCCCCGTTACGTGCAGAGCAAGCACTAACCTCGCCCGACGTGGGGATTCAAAAGATGGAACTTCTGTGTTTACTGCCCCGTATCGGCTCACGCCTTTCGAGTACACACGGTAGCTCTAAGTGAGGTTGAAAACTCAACTACGAGTCGATCCACACGCAGGAGCCCCATGAGCTCCTCTTGAATAGCTTTCCGGTCAACAGTGAAAGTAAGATAACTCACACGAAAAATGTGAGTTACTACGAAAATGACCTGTCAAATGGACGAAATCCACTGAAGTTATCGCGAGTTAGGAAAACGAAGACATTATTGGTACACATATAAATTATTCGACATTTAATCGAATAATAGGTGACAGTAGAGGAACAATTACAAAACTTGACGGGTGACTGCTGATGGCAAAAGATCGATAGAACTAGCTGAGAGACAGGCAAAACGAGGGACCCGAATGGTGTGGTGGTGAAGTGCACTACTCCCCGGTAAGGACAATAGCGCGCGTTCGTTCCCCACCGCATACACCTGCGGTCCGGAGTTTTGCAAATATCTCAGCATCTCCTAGAGGAAACTCCTAGAGGCTTTTTGGATCAATGCCAAAAACCCTACAATGAATAGCAGGGACGAATGCCCGGAGGTCATACACGACCTGATCCCGTACGTTCGCATCGATTTTTGATGTGCGATGGTGCAGTCGTCAACCACATGCGACTATCATCAGCTGTTCTAAACTTCCTCATTGGAAGTCACGAAAAAGCGGTGGGTTTTTTCGAGAAGTTGTTGGTCATGTAATTACCAAAGAGTTTTTCGTCTTTTTGTAAGTGTTATTGAAGCGTTTGGCCTAGTAGATTGTATATCAGTATACCCTTCCAGGCTCTGAAGAAGGCGATACTGCCGAAACGTCAGCTAGCGTTGTATTGTGTTGTGTTTTTATGGAAGTAAATGTATGCTGTTTAAAAACCTCGCGATTGCTGAACAAGAAAACGACACATTCATATTCCAATGCCGAGGTTAAGAGAAAGTCGATCCTGGGAACTATCTCAGCATCATTGAAATTACAAAACATTTTTAACAAAGTACTACTTATTTAATTTCCCAAATATTTTTCACGATTTCCCAAATTTCAACACTAAACTCAAAATATTTCCAATAATTATGAAAGCATTGATAAGTGGACAAATTCTTGTAAAAGTAAAATCTACCTTTTGCAGTAATTCTCACGCACCTGACGCTTGCTCCTTATCTAATTCCACGGGATAATCGTGTATACTTGACACCACAGTGGTAGTTAGATTGAACTCGGGTGGTAGAGTTCGAATATCGAACATCTCGGCAGAATTCAGATAGTCGTACTTGGCCGATATTACTAGAATGTCTTTGCTCTCCAGTGAAAATTCAACATTAGATGTCAATGATGAATATCACCACTTTCATTAAAATACTACGATACTGAAGTTCCCACGGATCTCCTTCATAGAGCAATCTCATATCGGTTAATCGCGACGCAAAGTGGCGCTTCTCCAAATGGTGGATGGGTAGTAATCGTGGACAACAAGCGATATTGTTGCTTCTCTGAGATGCAGATCGATCCAATGACCGGACTCCGTGTCTTTGCTGCGCCGATTTAGCCAATGCCTCTTGTGTTTACGAGGAAGTATTCATAGATAAAAGGGCGCGTGTGATGCAGTGGTCGGAAGCGCCCTGCAACACACACGTGGAATCGATCCCCGCGCCCATGGCCCATCAAGCCTTCCATCCCTCCGAAGTCGGAAAATTGGTACCAGACTTCTCTGAGAGGATAGCAGCACCGGCTCGGTACATCGGTAGGTCACCGTGACTCATTGTAAAGGCCAGATATGCATTTAATCACCTCCAACGATACTTAATGAAGTCGAATGCATGGCGCATCCCTCAGGGATCACGAAAGCTTTATCCTTTATTTTATCATTTAACTTTTATGGCCAATATTTACAACGATTCCATTCTAAACATTTTAAATTCTGGAGAATGCATTAAAATATATATATATATGCCACTTAAATTTCTGAGAGCTCTAGTGATCGAGAAATTCTTCTCCGTAATTGAAAAATCATTATCGGCGCGAATGTATTCATGAATGAAATCCGAAAGAAGGTGAGTTCGCCTGCATGCGATTAGGATTTCAGACAATTTTTTAAATCGAGCTAAAACCACGACTTATTTAATAAGTCTTCTACCCAGTGTAAAAATCTTAACTAATAGAAAAGTCTGTGTGCTTGTTAAACGCGGCTGAACAGCTCGAGTCACGAACACCGCCGAGTAGTCCTCTCCCTTTGCCAATATTTGCACAAGTTGTGAACAAAGGAGAAGAATTCCGGTGGAATTTTCCCCGAGTGTTTCATGGCTAATTGTTACTTCTCTATCATTTTTAAAGGTTTCCCATTCTTCTTTCGTGAGTTTTCTGTTAAAGTTTGGTGGAAATTTACTCGTCAGCTACAAACAGTGCTCATCATTATGATGTAAAGCTTATCAAACTACTTTTAACAAGTCTTATAATACTACGTGAAACCAAGACGCCACTGAACAAACATTTTATATTAGCGACAAAAGAGGGAAAGGATGGTTTAGCAAAAAAAACTTCCAATTGTATGATTGTTAATGGTAGGACTGATAAGGCGAAAATAAAAATAGCAAACTCTCACATGTTCTAGCGGTTCGAAAGCTGGATTCGACTGCTTCTGTAGATTGAATTCCACTGTAGACAGATCTGATCTAAAATTAGTAGACTTCTCTCAGCTGTTCTTAGAAAAAATTTCCTTAATATTATTATATTTTAAGAAATAAAATCTGTGTCACCAATTACTATACAAACTATGGTATTCAGCATCACCGCTAGCAACTAGAGCAACAACCTCGGAAGTACTGACCATTATCCGATACACTGTATCCGAATCCAAATTGCGCAATCGTAATAGTGTCTCCTTGGTTTCGACGACATTGACACGATCCGGATGTCGTTCAGGAAAATACTCTGAATAAGTTAGCACTCATACTTCCTTAATTAATGGATAAGGGAACGTTCCGTCGATGAGTCCCTAAGGGATCTCCATGTATTCAACTCTATTCATGGTGTCGCTGGGGTGAATGACTGTACATTTGTCCTATAAAATCACCTACCGTTGTGTGCCGATCTATCGAACTAATATTTTTTCATCCTCTAAAAAAGTTCGGTTCCAGTCTGTCAACGCACGCCTGAGGGGTTTGTTAGTCTGAGGTCAGAGATCGGATTTGTGATTCCTTGTGTATTGCAGGGAGATCCAACCATTAAGCTACATGCTTTTGCACCTTTCTTATCCTTTTTTAGTCTACCATCGCAGATTTACTTGACGCAGCTAATCACGGTGAGAGATTGTTTCAGATTAAAAGTGAGGAGTTGTGTATACTTGTCTGTTAGAGTTCACCATTCCCTTCGACTTCATTCCGGATTTTCTTTATAAAAGCACTTTAGTGCTGAGCATCGAGAAAAAGTAGCTTTTTAGAAGTTGGTGTATTTTCTACCTTTGCTTTCTAAGAATTGGAAGACTTTTCTAG